ATCATATATGGAGAGAGAAGGGAGATCATCACCCTCTGTGGGATCAGATTGAGATCATAGACAAGGAACACCATTGTAAAATTCATAAACTTAAGTAATCAGACCACAAAAGTCTCCTGAGCCAACCAAGCATAGAAATGAATATGGGAATCAGTAATAAGGAGTGCCAGAGAAAAATGATAACAACAAAAATTGCAATATGAGCTCTGGTAAAAAAACATGCAATGATAACAGCAAAAAATTGCAATATGAGCACTGGTAAAAAAAACGGTTGCTGAAGACATTAGGTTTATAATACCCAGAAATTCATACACAGATGTCCTCATGGCACAGTGGATAAAAGCATTGGTTAGATCCAGTGACAGGACCCAAAGAGTGTGAGTTCAATACCCGTCTAAGGCAGTGGAGAACTTTCAGAGGGAAATTAACAGGAGATAACTGATAACTGACATCCATTAAACATGGCACATAGAACTAGAACAGTCTACCCCAGTGAGTGAAATAAAGGGTTCAGTTCGACATTCCAACCACCTGAAGAAGGCCGGAGCATACAAATATGGTGACAAAGATGAGAACAATAGTCCAAATAATGTAAATAATGTACAAGTTTTTTTTATATATATATATATATAGTTTATGCAAAACTAGGTAATCCGCATGGGTAGACCCAAGGAGAGCTCAATAAAATTCAGAGCCGATATGTTTGAATAAAAAAATTTAAGGTTCCATGTAATAAGTTATTTCACCACAACCCCTTGTAGCTTCTTCATTTAATGTCGGTCTTCTCCCTCACCCCTTACCCATCTATATCTAGAGACAATACATGTTAAGTTTAAGCAACGTCTAGCCAACACACAGTGGGGTTAAGAATAAGGAATTGAAATGGTACATCTAACCCACTCATATCTTATCTTCTCTCCCACCTCACTTCCTCAATTTTACATATGCTTGATGCGGTCCGTCAAAAACGTGTGAATTTCTTTTCATTTTTCATTTTAACCTTTGGAAGTAAAGTCTGATGATCCAGAGCCCTGTTAAATGGGTTGTGGTGAAATAACTTATTACATGGAACCTTAAAGTGGTCTGTTTTTATTCAAAAATATATATATTAGTATAATTGATTTCATTTAAACCACGGAGGTGTAAATTCATTTATTATCTTAATTTTACTTTTAGTTTAATATTCCCCAAGATATTGAACATAGTCAAGAAAATGTGGAGTTATATGTTTGTGATATAAGTACAATGTAATCGTTAGATTAAATAATATGGTGTTAATTTTTGCAGCGTGTATAAAAACTTACTGCTAAGAATAATAACAAAACTAGAGAAATTTTAACAGTTGCTAAAAATGGAAAAATAAACTTAACGCAAAGTATTATGATGTCAACATTCTCAAAGAAGAAAACAAAAAGAATGTGAGAGTAAAAAATAATTTTGACGAATATTAATAAAAGTCTCAAAAAAGTTAAAGAATAAAATTAAAGTAATACTGATGATCAGAAAACAAGGGAAAATTACAGGCCAATATTTTGAATGTTGATTTTCAAAACAAGCAGGAATGACTTGGAGTAGCAGTACAATGTAATCTTTTGAAATCACAGATGACACATTGCTAGCCTCTTGCTACTTCATCACTATTTTCATGGCAGACAAGCTATATTGCGGCATTCCAAGCTTTCACTGCTCAGACCCAACACGTGTCATGTGTACACAGTCGATTCATTCTCATTTCATTTATATTACATTAATAAGAAGGACTGTTGTCATGAAAGAGATTCCAGAAAGAATATTTCAACAATTGATACAATCATAACTTCAAGTCTAGGCTCAGCTGTTATCTATTTTATATATCCTCATAATATATACTTCTTGCTTCTTCAAACTTACAACAACCACATTCAGTAACTGTCTACCTTGAGTGGCTCTTGGGCCTTGTATTGGATTAACATTAGTAATACTGTACAAAATTAAAAGTTTCACCTATATATATCTGTGTGTGTGTAAAAGAGAGAGAAGGGAAGTTATTTCATTAATTTCACAAATGAGTTAATGCTTTGCCCATTGTTACTCCATTGTAACTTTATAGTAACAGAACTTTCTGGGAATATATATATTTTAATGAGTGTCATGTTATCAATTGGGCTAAAATTCATCTTTGAAAGAGTTCATTGTACAAAACAAGTGCACAAGATATACTCCACCTTACCCTTGAAATAAAATACATATTCAGTTGATGTATCAGTTATCATGATGATCAAAAGTGTTACTTTCATCTTAATTATATAACCTGTGAGTCAAAGCTTACCAAATCTGTGCCAGTATTTACCTGCCTAAGCCATCCCAACAACCATATAATTTAAAGATTGTGTTGAAACAATGCATTTATTGGCTAATTATCAGTTAATAGTGTTGGAAATGAGATTAACAAGTTCAAATTTTGGATGAGATAGTTTGTATTCATTTTACACTAATACTCTTGGGGAAAAAATGAAAATATGGGTTAAACAACAGGGCAGCCTTGACTGTGTAAACTTGGCTGTAAACCAGTCTAGAAGAAGTCTAAATTCAAAACCGTAAATAAAAAAGAAATAACAGTGAAGAACCATGTCTCTTATTTCTTGAAAGGATATGGCACTTACAGAGAAAGGGTCTCTTTATTGTTTCAACTCTATCAGACACAACTCACATCTCATTGTAACACAATGTAGTATGTGACTAACATCAGATGATGGTAAAATAAACTCAGTATTATGCAGATGTATCAGGGAATCCACATGCATTAATGGGTTGACATGAAACCAGGTGCACATCCGCACCTTACAGGATAATTGTGGTTGTCCCTGACATGTAAACAGGTGGTCAATCCAGCTGCACTTTAGATGTGTACATGAGAGATGGCCGTTTATAGGACAATAGATAAGCACCCACGTGTGAGAAAAAAGAAAAAGAAATGTAGAAACCACATTAAGAAAGAAAACCCAAAGTCACACTGCTACTCACTGACAGTAATTGATCAAGTCCAGAGTTGAGTAAACAATAATGTCCCATGTTCCTTTTAGTCTTTACAAGGATAACAACAGGCAAGTGATAAAAGAAAAATTGCTTATGATGTCCCTACATTGGCAAAACATTTATTTCTTTTCTCATTGAAAATAAAATTATGAGGATTAATTATGGTTTATATTTTGAATATATATATATATGTGTAAAATTGGACACTAAGGTCAACACCAAAAGGTCTGTTTCATGCTTGAATACAATCTACAGGTCATGTGTATAGTGTTTTGGTTCAACTATTTATATATGCTGGTCAATTGTGAATTATGGGTAGTAAGGTCTATTGTGTTATCGAGCAGTTATTGGATGGGTGATCACGGTTATATTTCAAATTATTATAGAGACTATTGAGTAGAAATAATTGTGGATCCAAATGCAGTTATTTTTCATTATTCTGTAGTTTGGTTATAGAGTTTTACTGATGATTTATTATTAATTGCTTAACTAATTGTATTGATTGATATTATTAAAATTCAGTTGTGTTTATTGATGCATTCATAGTTTGTATTTTCAGAAAAGTCATATGAATTTTGGACAGTCCCTTTATGAGTTTGAACTGGATGTATGGCTACACTTACATATGCCAATAAGCAAATGTAATTGTGCCTCTGAGGTTTCTTCTTGACTGATAGGCATCATTGAAGCTTGTTTTATTGTCACAGAAATACCAAGTGAGACCACAATCTTCTTCATGGATAACTCCTATCTGTTCAGCCAATATAATCCACAGGAATCACTTCTTTTGGCTATATCAACATAACAGTTTGGATCATAACAGACATCGCCTTGTATCTGCTCACAGTAAATGTGTTTCCTTAATGAGACTCAGCTTCTGTTTACTGATAGTATGAGACATTGTATAGCATGTCACAAGTTTGTTTTTTTGCTGTGTGTTAAACAAAAGTACATTCTCAATCCCTTCTCTTTTCAATCAGTTTGAAGTATCGTTATCTGCTGCTGATAAAAATATAAAAATATATATATATATATACACACACACATACATATATATATACATATATATATATATATATATATATATATATGTATATATATATATATATATACACATATATATATATATATATATATATATATATATATATATATATATATATATATATATATATATATATATATATATATATATATATATATATATATATATATATATATATATATATATATATATATATATATATATATATATATATATATATATATATATATATATATATATATATATATATATATATACATATATATATATATATATATATATATATATATATATATATATATATATATATATATATATATATATATACATATATATATATATATACACATATATATATATATATACACACACATATATATATATATATATATATATATATATATATATATATATATATATATATATATATATACACACACACATATATATATATATATATATATATATATATATATACACACACACATATATGTATATGTGTGTGTGTCATAAATAAATGATTAAATTTTGACTTGAAATTTTATTGAATAATATTCAGTCTATGTATATATGCATTTGTGTGTATGTGTCTGTTTGTATGTAAATAAGTAACAGTATATCCAAACAATGGATATTTATTGTTTAACAATCATCTATTTTTAACTTTAACTCTTATAAATTATGACAACCACTTATGCTGTGATTATTTTTTTTTTCATTGCAGCTGTCTCTGTTGTTAAGCTGACCGTTTCTTATGGCTGAGATGACCTAATCCATGATGAGTGTCCCTACTGCTACCAAGAAACATGATCATCTACTTACTCAACAACATGAATTTTTTTCTTTCTTCAGATAAAAAAAATCACCTAGAATGATCCATTGTATTTTGCAAGTCATTATTACAATGTTATTAATAATAAGGACTGCATTTACACACATAATGTATGTCTCTTCTCTTTCTTTTCTTTCTCCCCCTCCCCACAAGCTACTAATATTTATACTTGATCTACTGATTGTGTTATCTAAGCAAAGTAGATTCTTTCAACCTTCTTATTCTCCAGTTTTCAGTCTATCTTTTCACTCATTTCATAAATATTAATGTGATCCTCTCTCTAACCATGCCAGATTTTAACATGTCTCCACACATAACAGCTTTTCAGCTGAAGTTTTATTTTTAATCTGATCTCACTCTGGTACTCTGTTCCACAGCTTCATGGAATATTATAATCATATATATATATATATATATATATATTATAGATACAATTATTTAAGTAAATGCTCTGTTTTTAATAAACAGTATTAATTACATTTACATGCCTGAATGTCCAAGAAATTTTGTAAAAAGATATGTGTCCTCTGACAGGAATTGAACCTGTATCCTATACAGAACTGATGGGCTATGTCATTAGCTACAGAGGAATCAACTGGTTAACAAATTATATATATATTTTTATTTCACATTATTTTTTCCCAAGTACTTTTGATTGTTGCTACATTCATTGTGTTTTGTGTCTGTTTGCATAACTGATTCTCAAGTTTGCTGGAACCAATTTACTGAGGGATAGTTCTTTGTGTTTAGCAAGGAATTGAATTCTTCTACCTATATAAACTGTTACTTCACAACATGACAATAAACAATTGGCAGTGAACAAAATTGAAGCAACCATAGTCTTTTACGAGCCTAGAATGACAAGCCCTAATTTTGCTATTAGGAAACATCTGGCTCTATGCTGTAAATACAATGCAACAAAAGATATCAGAGAAAAGGTGAGAAATTTTCCTATGTGTGACACTTTTATCAGATCTGTCATCTTTACATCATCCTGTATTTCTTCACCTTGCAAAACATTTTGCACTGTTGTGCCAACAAGTTAAAAGACAAAAAACAAACAAAAGAATAAAAAAAATAAATAAATAAAAGGAACAAATTATTTAATGGAATATGCAAACATAGTGTAAGAATCCTAAGGAAAATATTTTGATGATTAAATAAGGATTTTATGAATTTTTTATCAAGAGATTTTATGAAAAATATGTAAATCGATTTTACATCAACCTAATATATGCTTTCAAAAATCACAAGTACACACATACATGTGAAGAAATGCACACATGTACACACACACTTAAACATAAATGCACTGATAGATGTATAACTGATAAATGCACTGAATGTAGACATGTAGATATAAGTCATGCAGAAAAGTTCTTGGCCCAACCAACTCCCCAAAATTTGACCAAATGATTAAGCATAAGAAATTTTTTTTTTTTTGGTTAGACTTTTTCAGTATCCATTTGCATATATATTTGCATATATATATATATATATATAAGAAATAACAGCAAGATATATAATCCAGTGTTTTTTATTTTTACAAAATAGTGCTCAATGTAAATTTACAGAGCATTAATATTATAAATCAATTGATTTAAAATGTTTTTTTCGCTACACAGTTCTAACCATGTTTCAAAAATGGAAGCTAAAAGCCACAAATTTAATTTTGTAATTAAATTAAAGACATTAGTTCCATTTCATTCTCAAGCGAATTTTGGAGTAACTTTTTAAAATTACTAGGTTTTAAATACACAGCTAAAACAAAATTCATGTTTCCAAGGTTATATATAGAAATCATAATGTTTAAAATTTGCTATATTTATGAGAGAAGACTACTCAATATTAATCTACATTGCATATATAGACAGAACAGACATAAATATGAGCACTGCAGGGTAAATAAGTTTCATGCCTCATACAGTCTTCAGTCTGTGTTACTACATATATAGAGCCCATGCTAGGAGAAGTGTCAAATGGTCTGAAGATTGGTTCAGGTATGAAAATGACAGTCGCCATGCAGTGTTGATTTCTATACCTACAATCTTTATTTATTTATTTATCTATCTGTCTGTCTCTCTCTTTCTCTCTCTCTCTCTCTCTCTATATATATATATATATATATATATATATATATATATATATATATATATATATATATAGAGAGAGAGAGAGATAGACCTCCATCATTTAATTTGTTAATCTGTTTTAAAAATTTTACTATTTATGATAGAACTGTAGTATAACTAATATATATAAGCTTGACAAGACACCAGAAGTGTTGAAACAAAAATGGCTATTTTTGTAGAGATGTTATAACATGCTTATGTTATAATTTATAAATAAATATTATTTGCTCTACTTTATATTGAGTATTTTAAAAAAAAAAATAGTGGTTTTGCTTATCAGAATTTTATTCCATCTATACCAATCCTGAATTCATGTGTGTATATATATATATATATATATATATATATATATATATATATATATATAGTTTTAAGGTGTTAGGGCAGCCTGACGATTGCGTCTAGCATGAAACAGCTTATCGCCTCTGAGTGTTGACTTCAATGTTTACTTATATATATATTGAGAGAGAGAGACAAAGGAGATTATGATAGACTAAATGTATTGTATCGTATTTGTAAATTTAAATATTTCTTCCAAATTTATCTCTTTAGTATTTCATGGCCTCCATTGCTTTTCTACATACTATAACTAACAACTAACTACAGTTGCTACTGCTATTTGTGTTACCAACAGAGACAACAACAGGTCAGTTCTACCACTTTTATTTTAGTGGATATACTAAATACAATTCACAATGGTTTCAGCCTCCATGGAAACCAGTTTGCCCACCAACAAAGAATCCACTTAGGCAAATATTCATTCATTTGACTTGTTTTTGCTTTTAATCTCATATCTTTTTCATCTATTTATCTATGTCTTCTTTCACTGGATAGGCTCTCTCTCTCTCTCTCTCTCTCTCTCTCTCTCTCTCTGACAAATGATCCATTTACCTTTCTTTTGATCTGCATTTCTATCCACTTGCTCTCCATCTTCCAACAATATGCATATCCACTTGCATTTCTTTATCCATCACTGCCTTTTACTTTTTTCTTTTTTCTCTTTCCTTCTTTTTTCTCTTTCCTTCTTTTTTTCTCTTTCCTTCTTCTCTTTCCTTCTTTTCTTCTCTTTCCATCTTTTTTCTCTTTCCATCTTTTTTCTCTTTCCATCTTTTTTCTCTTTCCTTCTTTTTTTCTCTTTCCTTCTTTTTTTCTCTTTCCTTCTTTTTTTCCCTTTCCTTCTTTTTTTCCCTTCTTTTCTTCTCTTTCCATCTTTTTCTCTTTCCTTCTTTTTTCTCTTTCCTTCTTCTCTTTCCTTCTTTTTTTCTCTTTCCTTCTTTTCTTTCCTTCTTTTCTTCTCTTTCCTTCTTTTCTTCTCTTTCCTTCTTTTCTTCTCTTTCCTTCTTTTTTTCTCTTTCCTTCTTTTTTTCTCTTTCCTTCTTTTTTTCTCTTTCCTTCTTTTTTTCTCTTTCCTTCTTTTTTTCTCTTTCCTTCTTTTTTTCTCTTTCCTTCTTTTTTTCTCTTTCCTTCTTTTTTTCTCTTATTCTTTAGTGTTCTACTTTTCTCAGTTCTTGACCTATTATCTTTTTCTTTTTTCTTTCTTCCTTCTTTCTCTGTTTTTAATTCAAAATGTTAGACATTTGAATCTTTCTCATTCTCCCTCCATTCATGTCTTACTTTTTCTTTCTCAATGACTCATAATGTTTTTCTTCTTCTATTGCTTCTCCTTTCTCTTCCTCCCAAACATTCTTTTTTTTCTGTCATTTTCTTTTACTCTCTCTCTCCCTCACACATATACATTTATCCTTCCTTTTCTGTCTTCACTTTTCTCTCATTTTTTGGTTTCTCTTTCTTTCATTCTATCACTTTCCAGTTTCAACCCTTATCTACTTTACTCACTTTTCCTTTATTTCTAAAATCTCTACGACTGTCTTTCTCTCTTTTTCTTCATTGTACTTGTTAGTCTCTAAATATTTTCTTTCTCTATCATTCCTACTTTTTTTTTTTTTTTTTCAAGCCCTTTTTCTTTCTTCATCTCCCTAATTCTCTTACAGTTCATTTAATTGAATCTATTTACCTCACAATTTAAACTTCTTCATTCTCTTCTTACTTTTACTTATTATCTCCTCTTTTAGTAGAATCTCATTTCCCTTTCCTTGAATCCAATTGTTCCCTCCCTCTTCTGCTAAACTAAGATAAAAAAAAAAAAAGAACCAAATAATGACTCCAAATTAAAAAAAAAAACTGACATCCTAAACCAGTCGGATGATAAGCGTTCATAAAACTCTCTGTTCAGAGTTCAGTTGATGAAAGAATTTATTATTTATAAAACTGATACTAAAAACCTGACATACAGAACTGTTACCAAAGGACAATTTCTTTCTGCTTGAAAGCTACAAGCATATAATATTGATTAAGTAATATAACATCTAAAATTAGTCAAGGAATGTTGCTATTTTGATTATGGTAGCCAATAGATATTTAGTGACAGTTACAACCTTTTAGGCTATGATTACCAATCCATAGAGAGAAATAATTTTCACTTATAATTTTCAGATATAACTAGCAAAAAAAGTCACATGATGTGTAAGATTTCATTTGAAGTGAAATATTGGAATGTTATGCATAAATAGTGATTTGAAGAGACTAAAATAGATAGACAGATGCACACACAAATATTAAACAATATTGGAGTTGTAAGTAGTCATTTTCATTTACTCTCACTTCATTTCAATCATTTGCTGATCACAATCATCTATTTGTGCTAAAACTGTTGAAAAATAATGGTGTCCATTCCAGGTATTATATGGTGAAAGTTACTTTCACATCAGACAGCAAAAGTGAGAAATATGAATTTTACCAGAAATAATCCCTGAAAATACTGCTATCACAATTTCATAATGATGGAGCAGTATAAATCCAATCTCTGCAACAATGAACAAGCATCAGTAGGTGTGTTGCGATATACACGAGTTGAACAGTAAAAGTTTTCATTTGCCTTTCGTATATGGCCTGCAGATTGCGTTCAAACATGACGCAGACTGTCACCACTTGTTGTTGACCTGATTGTCATGTATATATATTCATTTATTTCTTTTAATCATTTCACCTCAAGCAAGGCAGGCATGTCACTGGTACACATGTGGTTACAGAGAGTAAAGGTGAGAGAAAAAGACTGTGCATAAGGGGGACCAAGGAAACAAAAGCTGAATAGGGTTCAAGAACATAGAAGATGGCAACTGACATTGCATTTAAATTTTTGAAGATTGCAGTTATCAGGGAAGCAAGGAAATGGGAGGGAGTTCCACAGGTGGGAAGTGCAAGAAAATAACCTATTAGAGTAGTTATGCTAGTTTGTTTATTATTTCCATGAAAAAGTATAGATGTATTTTCAACAAGAACTTTTCTGAATTACCAATATAAACAGGTTTGCTGTTGTAAATGTTTAGAAATGTTGGAAGTATCATTCAAATGAAAACTCAGCCACCAAGACAACGTAGTCATAGTGTGGCCAACATAAATATTATTTTTTCTGTTGGAGATACAATTTCCCAGAGGACACTTAAATTTATAAACAATGTTGGTTTTCTTCAACACATTAGTACATGGGGAAAAGTCCTTACAAATGTTTGAATTAAATATCCTTGATTTAGTGTAGTATATTATTAATTTTTTTTACTAGGATCAGTGGTGAATATGTTAGTATTTATTAATTTGTTTATAATTAGAATGTATTTGGTTGCAATATAAAAGATTAATGTGTTTGGGGTTAATTGAAGAAATATTGTGTTCTATTTGCTTTGTGTTAAAATTTCTGATAGAACAATTGTTCATCAACAATTAGGGAAGTTATTATTAGTAATAGTTTGTTTTATATTTTTTTAGTTTGCTGCAGAAAATCAGTTTTGTGGATGAATTAATTTTTCATGGTGTATTTAGTTTTTTCTAATTGCTATTTTATAGTAATTTGGGCATTCACTCTTATAGTTAAGGGTGCACAAATTTATGCTGCTAGGTATTTTTTAAATGTGGAGATAGAGAATTTATTGTTATTAGTGAAAATAATAAACATAAACTAAAAATTTTTGAAAATCTCTATATTAAAAAATTGAAACAAAATCTTAAAATTAATTATGAATACTGCAGAAATGTTTAAAATCTGTACAGTAGATAGTTTAAAATATTGAGGTTTGTACCAATAGTTCTTCATTCTCTTTTGTTTTAAAAATAACTCTCAACACCTCATAACTTAGTTACCTCCCCTGAAGTGCTACTCAAGTAATTTGCACTAAACTCAGCATTATTCACTTCACTAGTAAAAAAAATTATAACTTGCAGCTGAACACAGCAATTTTGTCTTTAAAAATGAAGAACACTACTATATTTGTCTTGAAAAAAACAACAGTCTGATGATGACATTGTGCTTATGTCAAAAGTACTCCATATAAATATGTATCAACACAGTAATTTTCTATCTTCCTTTAATAATGATACCAAAAAGCTTGTGAATATAAAAAAGGATCCAATTGAAAATAAGTAGATAAAATTGTCTAAATTATTCAATGAAACATGTTGCTTATATATATATATATATATATATATATATATATATATATATATATATATATATATATATATATATATATATATATATAAATGGACGAGGTCCGACAATTTATTTATGAAAGACATTTTTTATTTATGTTTAACGTTGTTATTTTATAGATACAAGTATTTAAGCAAATGCTCTGTTTATGATAAACAGTATTAAATAACATTTACCAGCCTGAATGTCGAGAAATTTTCATAGAAAATATTCGTTCATAGAGACAGGATTCGAACCTGCATCCTATCAGCTGACGTGGAACCGTCACCATAACTATAAAAGTGAACATTGACCTTGACCACTCGATACCAGCGTATATGAACTATAACTGTCTCATGAACGAAATTTTCTATGAAAAACCTTGACATTCTACCATAAATGTTATTTGGTACTGTTTATCATAAACAGAGCATTTCTTAAATACTTGTATCTATAAAATAACAACGTTAAACATAAATAAAAATGTCTTTAATAAATATATCTATATATCTACCAACTCTAGCAAGAATGAAGCAATCATGAAGTAAATTTAGAGTATTGAGAAAATAATGAAGAAGGTAAAAATAATAAGTAAGTATATAAAGGAGTAACTGAAGGACCCTGGAAACGAACTATGCACACAAAACATCTTTCACAAATAGTAAATATGAAAACAGCACAATGCTTTCTGTGAATATCTGGGAAATTAAGAACAAAACGCAAATCACACAAAAATATCATGGAAAATATGGAAAAGATCATCAGCCTACAACAATCAATCTAAAACCTGCAAACTTTTCCTGGAGGAAAAAATAGCTATTATTACCTTCCCAGATCAAAATAAATTACTAAATAAATGATCAAAATTTTTACTAAATTACTTAAAAATCAAAAACTGAAATGAATAAATAAAAATAAACAGAATAATATAAAAAAAACAAGTAAAAAAAAATTAACCTAAACAAATAATAAACAAATTAACAAACCACTCCCGTTAGAATAGATGAAATAGAACGAATAACTGTTAGAATAAGCTACAACAATCAATCCAAAAATTGGACAAGAAAATAGCTATAACTGCTATATAACAATAAAAAAAAGTTACTACATTACTCAAAAATCAAAAACCAGAGTAAATAAGAATATACAAAATAAAAAAATAAGCAAATAAATAAGAAAAAATATGTAAAAATGAATCCAAATAAATAAATTAGCAAATTGTTCCCGCTAAAATAACCATTAGAATTAATAAAAATAAACATAAATAAGCAAAAACAAGTAAAAATAATCAATCCAAATAAATAAATAATTAAAATAATAAACAAATTAAAAATTGTCCCCCACCAAAATAGCAGAATAGACTATGGCAATCAATCCCAAACTTGAACGAATATATAGCTTTATCTTCCCAGAGCAAAACAAACTAATAAATAAGTGACCTAAACAAATCCAAACGAAATTTTTTTACTACATTAATAAAACAATGAAAACTGAAAAGAATAAATAAATATATAAAAAATGAAAAGAAAAAACAAGTAAAATAAATTAACCCAAATAAATAAACAAGCCGCTCCCACCAAAATAACTGCCAGAATGGATTACCCACAATGCACCACTGATCCATATATATATATATATATATATATATATATAATAGTCAAGAAAAAAATCCAATACTCACGGCCTGACGATTGCATCTAACATGAAATAGCCTGTCGCCTCTGAGTGTTGATTGCAATGTTCACTTTTATATTTATATATATATATATATATATATATATATATGATAAAAATATAGTTTTTAATGTATGCTATATTTTGGGGTAAAAATGCTCAGTATCAAAGATAGAAGACATGTAAATATAAAAGTGGACATTGAGGTCAACACTAAGTGGTAACAGTCTGTTTTATGCTTGAACATAAACCATTTATGCATATGTGTGTATGTAAAGAGTGGAAAAGCAAAACATTTTCACTAAAAATTCCCACTACATTAAATTATGGAAAAGCAAATGCAGAACAGTGTTATTATCAGATAATTAATACACACA